TGATTACTCTTTAGATCTATGAGCTACTAAAAGTGCCATATTATCTTAAACAAGAGCGAATAGGATTCGCCCTAAAACTCTCTCAGGCTCGAGCTCCGAGACCGCGGCCCCGCAACGCTCTTCCACATATCTGATGGCCTATCACCGTTGTCTCTTTGCCGCTCGAGCCTCTGAACCTTCCGTCGTGCTAGCTGTCTCGCCGACGAGACCTCTTCAAGCTTCTCAACTTCCGCTCGTTTGGCCTTTGTCGACGGCGAGAATCCTGCAAACTCCTTCGACTTGCTTGCTCATGTATGCGATGATGACATCTCTTCGAGCTTTGGCCCCCCAAACCGACGAAGCAGCCAGATCCTCCTTGGATTTCCTCTGCTCGATATCCTCTCGTGCCGTCGATGAAGATGATTATGAAACCGCCAGAACCACCAGACCCTCCGAACCCGCAGGATTATGAAGACACTCTGGATCCGCTTGTTTATCACGACCCTCTGCCTCTCCCTCGATTCTCGGCCTCTAACTCGCAACAAGCCGGATCTAGCCTCCTCTTCTCACGCGATTTCTTTCTCTGGCCCTTCGCATTTCCCTTCGTCGAGCCTTCTAAGGAACCTATCCTCTACACCCGCTTCAATCGAGATTTGAATCTCCGATCAAGTGAGCTGCTCCGGCAAAGAGGTAATCACTACTCTAACCATCGTTACTCTCTCCTATTCAAGATCAGCATGTCCTCCGCCGTCACTGCCTTCCGGTCATCTGACCTAGTGCTCTCACCGACCAAGCCTCTTTGTCGTGAAGCAGATTTGGGATTGGGCCACATTAACCTCTTAATGGGCTTTGTAACATTTCCCAGCCCACAAAGACCCATCAGTCCAAACCCGGTTTACCAAATCTTTGGTAAATCAGTGTGTTTTAAATTCCATTTTAAAGAGACATTTTAAACAAAATTCTTCTTTTATGGAGAGATCAAGTCCATCATTGTTCTCTTCATTGAAGAGATTATCATCACCAAATTCCTCTTTTATGGAGATCACTTTCATCATCTTCCTCCGATTCGGAGAGAACCTTGCCACCAACCTTCTCTCTCATAGAGAATGTCTTCAAACGGTCAGCCGTAATGGCATTATGAGCTAAAAGTTTCGTTCGCTCGCCTTTGTTGGCAGAAGAACTAGCCTTTTTTAAGATGCTACCGGTTGTTACCTATGAGTATAACCTTCTATCTTTTCGTTATCTTGCTTTGTATTTGTATTTTAACTATGTTGTAGTTTCGGACTCCTTGGCATCGAGCTCTCGGCCTCTTCATATTGTAACCGCAGTTTGAATTTAATATAAATTACGTTTCGACCAAAAAAAAAAAAATCTACTAAAAATGCATCA